GGGTGACCACATTCCTGCTGTCCCAGCCATTTGGGGAATGAACCCGTGGATGGAAGACCTCTCTGTCTCTCCCCCTCTCTGTCTGTAACTCTACCTCTCAAGTAAGTAAATATTTTTAAAGAGAGCCTGCTCTAGATCTGTTGAATTTTGAGTCCCACCATCAGCTGCCTTCACAGGGGCAGACCACGTGACTTCACAGGCCTTGATGGCCCGCGGGCTGGATGTTCCCCACCCTGGAGCTGGAGAATATTTCCCAGCAATTGCTACCATCTGCTCCCTGTCTGTGAACAAATGCCAACAAACCCTGGCAAGCAGAGCTGCCCCAGCCGAGCCCTGTGGGATCTGCTGACACAGAACCTATCTGGTATCTGCTGGGACTCTGCCCTACACCAAAGGTTCTGTGAAGAGGGCTGGGGGCCACCCAGGGACCACAGAACCCACCCCATGGACCTCTGCTTCCCCAGTCCCTAGGGACAGGCAGCAACCTGTGACCCGGGCCCAGGCCTCAGACATCCCACAGCTGTTCTCTGGCTTCCTGAAGGACAGAAGGCCAGCGGGCAGCCAGCACCCCAACTGCCAAATCCAACAGAGGCTTCCACGGTTCCCACCAATCCTCAGGTGCACAGGAGCTAATGCCGAAACAGAATCACCACACTGGTGCTGCTCCGAGTTCCTAAGTTTCTGGGGAGTGCATTACAGAAACCAAACTTCCCCTGCATAAAAACCTGACATCCACGACAGCCTGTGCCCACTTTTAAGCAGCCCTGTGACACTCCTCAGGGAAGGAGGGCACTGCGGAACCACGGTATCACCTGCAGTCACCCGGCTGGGGGCCCACCTGGACCAGTGCCAGCCCCTCCACCCCCCGGCAGGAGTGGGGGGCCTGTGGAGCAGCAGCTCCAAGTACAGGCAGAAGGCTGCTGACTTCACGTCCAGGCCCCGCCCCTCCCAGTGCACTTAGGGACAGGACAGGCGGAGCCAGGAAGTGGAGTCCCAAAGCCCTCACACCTCCCTGCAGGGCCACCTGGGGCAGGACAGAACCAGCTGCTGCGGCCGGACAGCTTTCCCAGGTGCCGACGCTGCTCACCCACAGGTGGCACCAGCTCCCCCAGGAAGCTCCTGCCCTGGGCCCAGCTGCAGGAGGAAGGTCAAAGGAAGGTCAAGCCTCTGACCCTCCTCAAGGGGGGCAGGCCTGCGGCTGGCTCTACTCCCAGGCAGACGCATGAGCAATCTGCTCCTTTCCACTCCTGTCTACCCTCCCCTGCCTTTAGTCACTGACACAAAGCTATTTTGCTTAAAATACAAAAGACGTTTTTTAAAAATACCATGCTCTAAGAGACAGCGCAATCTGTACCCAAAGCTTCCCCACCCAGCTGCAGGCAGACCGTAAGGTGGCCATGGCCTCGGCCCTCCTCTTCTCAGGGACCCCAACTCCACCACTGCCCTCCAACTCTCTCCCTCCACCCACCAAAGGTGGCCCTGCTCCCACCCCTAACGAGCACCCTCAGCTGGAACTTGGAACTGCACCATTTATTTCCTAGCCCAAACTCCTGTTTCTCCTGCTGCCCCTGATCAGCTGAGTGACCACATGCTTCCTGGGGCAACACCTGCCCTCCAGGGCACAGCCCCCAGAAGCTCGGCGCTAACCACCCAGTTAAGGACGCCGGGTCAGAGGTATCGCAGGCCTGGAACAAAGCCATGCAAGCGGCAGCAGCCAACGAGCGCAGCGGAGCCACTGCTCCACGCCTCTGTGGCTCTCCGAGGGCTTAGTTCACTTCTCTGACTGGCACAAACGCACATCTCCTGCGTAGAAGCCCTGTGCTGAAGCTGGCGCAGGCTTCGCTGATCCGACACAAGAGCCCCCAGTGCTGACACTGGTCTGCACAGAGGCTGAAGGCCACAGGGAGCAACTTCACAGCCTTGGGCACTGAGCTTCTGCTGAAGTAGACCATGGGCTTGAAACAGATGTCTCTGCTTCATAAGAAATCTACTACATAAAAGGTTAAAATAAATTCTTTTCATTCATAAAGCTAACACATCAAAGATTAAAATACTCAAAAATGTATTTTTAAAAAAATTATTTATTTGAAAGGCAGAGTGATGGAAGGGAGACAGGGAGGGAGAGGGGTGGAGGGAGGGAGAGAGGAAGAGGAGAAGGGGGATGGGGGTGGGGAGGGAGAGGGAGAGGCAGAGAGCGAGAGAGAATCTTCCATCCACTGGTTCACTTACCAAATGGTCATGAGAGCTGGGGCTGGGCCAGGTCAAAAAAAAAAAAAAAAAAAAAAAGCCAGGAGTTCTGAACTCAAGTCTCCCACGTGGGTGGCAGGGGACCAAGCGCTTGGGCCATCTTCTGCTGCCTTCCTAGGTGCATCAGCAGGGAGCTGGATCAGAAGCACAGCAGCTGGCACTTGACCCAGTACTCCAATATGGGATGCCATGGCACAAGGGTGGCTTAATCCACGCACCACTGGCCCCTCAAAAATGTGTTCTAAGCACTAAACTGTCCTTGCCTAAAATGCTTTGCGGGGGTGGATGCTTAGCCTAGCAGTTAAAACTGGTTAAGCACTGGGGTGCTTGGGTTCAAATCCCTGCTCAGGCTCCCGACTCCAGCTCCCTGCTAACAAAGACCCACAAAGCTCAAGTAATTGGGTTCCTGCCACTCGTGGAGACCTGGACTGAGTCCTCAGTTCCCTGCTTCAGCCCAGCCTAGTCCCAGCTGTTGTAGGAATTTGGGGAGTGAACCAGCAGATGGGAACTCCACCTGTCTCTGTGATAAAAACCTTGTGAACTCCCCCCAGAAACCAACATCTAAGTGGCACCAGTGTTCTGCAGAGTTCTCAGTGCAGGTGCTCCGCCTATCAGACTACCACAACCTTGACGTGTCTCCCCTCCTATGTGCACCACCCAGTGGCTGTGACAGTGACAGAACAGGACCCTGGAGTCCCAGGCCAGGGTGGGCATATCAGGCCCTCCTCTTCAAAGCACAGCTCAGGTAGTTTCGAGACTGCCAAGTGAAGCGGGCTCGTGTCACTCCCCCGTCACGTCTGCATTTTTCTTGCCCTTTGCCCTCACTTGGTTCCCTCACAGGAAGCACAAGACTGCATTTCAAGAGCACGGAAGGGCCAGACGTCGCCGAGGGGCCCACCACCGTGCACGTGCGCCCAGGACGAGCACAGAGCTCCCCAGTCCCACGGTGACCACGTGAGTGCCTGACTTCTCACTGTGCTGTGGGCACTGACCGTGCCGGCTCTACAAGAAAACCTGACATGAAATCCTCACAGCGATAAGAACAGGGAGGCTTTAGGAGGCGGGCTGTGTGGGCACCATGACCCCAGGGCCTCCAGCCACGGTGTGCAGCCTCTCCTGACCCGCGGTGGGAAGACCACTGCGCAAGGGGAACCGGAGTCCTGCTCACGGACCACGGAGCAGGAAATCTCCCGGCAAGAGCAGCGGTCTGCAGCCTGGTGACACCCAGCCCCCTGCCCCTCCCCACCACAAACCACCGCAGGCGAGGCCACAGCACGCCCGTCACTCCCGAGCGGTGGTCTCTAACCCCAAACTCAAGATGACCTGGCTGGCCCCTCAAAAGGGTTATGACGAGGAGAGGAAGGCAAAGCTCCGGGCCAGCCCAGGTGCGTCTCCCACCCAAGACCCCCTTCGGGAGCCTCCAGTACAAGGCCAAGGGCCACTTCCACGCGCACTCCTTCCCGGGCAATCTCCTGAGGAAGCTGTGGCGCGGGCACTCCCAGGTTGCCACGGAAATGGGCAAGGCATGGACTGGCTTCCCCTCCCTGAGGCGGGAAGTGTGACCACTCTGAAGTGCCACAGCAGCCCGGGCAGACTTCTGGTGCCGTGGTCCCCAGGTCCCAAACAGGAAAGTGAAGTCCACAGTGGCAACCAGGGACATGGGCAGAGCCCCACTCCGTGCACTGCACCCCCGCCGTGCGCCCGCTGCCCTGGATGGAGCACGGGACTCCACTCGGCACTGCCCTGGGCCCTGCGGCAGGCGGCCCACCCCCTCACATGCCAGGCGTGGCTCCTACTGACGCTCAGGGAAGAAGGCGTCTGAGGAGGAAGTGGCCTTATGGGTAACAGAGATAACGAAGAAACGGAAAACCAGAACACGACGACCTAGAGGCCATCGACACGGAAGTCACAGGTGGCGCCTCTGAGGCAGGTCACACACAAAGCGTCCTCCGGGGACGTCGGGACGGAGCAGCTTCCCTGCTCCCTTCTCCACGCACTTTCCTTCTTTACACGGCTCATCCTGCGACAGCCTATGGAGATCACGGGGCACACATGTGTGCTTCTTCACTTCCTTGCTTCCTCACGGCTTCCCGGAGCTGCACGCGTGTGCTTCCTCACGGCCTCCCGGAGCTGCACGTGTTTCCTCACGGCCTCCTGGAGTACACGCGTGTGCTTCCTCATGGCCTCCCGGAGCTGCACGCGTGTGCTTCCTCATGGCCTCCCGGAGCTGCACGCGTGTGCTTCCTCATGGCCTCCCGGAGAACACGCATGTGCTTCCTTGAGGCCTCCTGGAGTATATGCGTGTGCTTCCTCATGGCCTCCCGGAGCTGCACGCGTGTGCTTCCTCACGGCCTCCCGGAGCTGCACGCGTGTGCTTCCTCACGGCCTCCCGGAGAACACGCATGTGCTTCCTTGCGGCCTCCTGGAGTATACGCGTGTGCTTCCTCATGGCCTCCTGGAGTATACGCGTGTGCTTCCTCACGGCCTCCCGGAGCTGCACGCGTGCATCCTCATTTCGTGCTTCCTGTCTTCGTGGGGCAGCACCTGCACATCCTATGTTCTCAAAGGTCTCCATACGGTCGGTGCCTGCTGCTGGCTTCGACTGGGCAGCTCTAGGCCTGATGCACACACTGCGGTGAATGTGGGCTGTGGCCGACCGCCCGGCACTGAAGCCACGGGTGCGCACTTACCTGGGTGGCCGGGCGGCACCGGGCCCACTCGCCACGCTGAGCACCCGCAGCCCTGAGCCTTACCTTGTGCACACTCTTGGGGTTCTCCAGCCAAGCACAGTACATCTCCTCCACATAGTTTGAACTAGTCCCGCTCAGAAAGGGCTCGGCGGCAACAGGTGCAGAGTAGCACCGAGACTGCTGAAGCGTCCTGACCGCGGCCGGCCTGTTTTGGGAACATGTCTTAACAGTCTGGGAGGCCGTCAACGGCCTCAACTTAGCAGCACAAGTCCTTAAGTGGAGCATTTCAGTCCTGAAGCCTTTCACCACAGCCTGCGCAAAAGAACAAGAAAGTAAAGTTAAAAAAGAACATTTTAGGAGATAAAGCTAATAGAAAAAAACTTGTCTAAGTCTGGCTGTCCAGGAGAGATTTTGGTGTGTGAGTCTGGTTGTGACAGTGTGCCAATCCTGTCCCATGGTGCACATGTGGGCCCCATACAGGGACCGTGCAGGACGCCACGGCAGCCCAGGGAAGGTGGGAGCATAGCCACCACCATTGTCACTTAGAAGTCCAAATCTTGTCTACACTGGAGGACGTCAGCACTCTAAGTTCATACACTGTATAAAACAATTGCAAAGGCTGGAAACTGGGAATGAAAAAGGCATTTTTTAAAAAAGAAAGATTTATTTATTTATTTGAGAGGTATAATTACAGAGAGAAGGAGAGACAGAGAGAGGTCTTCCATCCACTGATTGACTCCCCAAATGGCTGCAACAGCTGGAGCTGGGCCAATCTGCAGCCAAGGTCCAGGAGTCAGGAGTTTCTTCCAGGTCTCCCACGTGGGTGCAGGGGCCCAGGCACTTGGGCCATCTTACACTGCCTTCCAGGGCATTTGCAGACAGCTGGACTGGAAGAGGAGCAGGTGGGACATGAAGGGTGCCCATATGGGATGCTGGAGCCACAGGCAGAGGCTCAGCCTACTATGCCACAGAGCCAGTCCCCAAAAAAGGCATTTTCTAACCTAGCCAGAAACTAATCAAGCACCTGCTGTACACACGGCATTCTGGAAAATACAGAAACATGAGCAAATACTTTGCTTACCCTCAAATAACCTTCCTTTGAGCAGAGGAGAAGCAAACATAAAATATACTTGGGAGACAATACCAAGTGTTTGGGAGGTGCAGGCCACAGCCAGCACCCCCCGGGGAGGTGGGCTCCGTTCAGGCAGGGAGGAGATGACCAGAAGCAGCAGGGCAGAGATGGGAGGGGAGGACTGAGCGCTGCAGTGCTGGGAAGAAGAGTGAAGGGAGCCTGAGGGCCTGACTCAGCCCCCTCCTGCGCCCTGGGGCTAGGTGTGCACAACTTAGCACGTCACAGGCACCGCCACCACTGAGACAAGGGAGAGTTCACAGCAGCTGTCACTGTACCTGTGGCCTGGGTGGTGGGCAAACTCATGCGACTGAACCACGCACAACCTCACCTGGGTCACAGGGCTCCCATTCCAACCAACCTTCTTCCCTCTTCTCTCCGTGACAAGCTGCCTGGCTGGCTCTTCAGCAACCTGGACCCCAGGGCTGGAGAGAGGGACAAGGAGGCCAAGGCAAGAGGGAACAACGGAGGAAGGCGGGGAAAAGAGATGGAGGAGGTGGAAGGAGGAGAGGAAGCAGAAAGAGAAGAAGAGGAAGAGGAAGAAAACAAGGAGGAGGGGGAGGAGCCAGACCTCCTCTGGATGGGGGTGGGGCATCTGGGGCAAGCAGAAGGTGGGAACTCAACATGTTCACGGATTTGCTTAATCTATAATTCTCTATCAAAAACAGCCAACGTCTAAAGCAAGTGATGTGTCCACCAGAGATGAGAGGTGCCTGCTGCCGAAGGGTCTCCAGGTCTCCAGCCACTTTCCGCTACCGAGAAATCCTGCTTGGCCCAGGAAAGGGGGTTCTCTTCTCAAGAGGCGCGGCTGCCAAGGGGCAGCCCGGGGGTCTGGGTGTCCCGCAGGCCGGGTCACAGCCCTCAGCCTCAGGGCCGAAGGTCAGAAGTCAAGGAGGAGAGTAAAAGGCTCCATGAGGGCTCCAGGGAATGAAAAGTGCTGGCTGGTCAAACCCTCGCCTGCTTGTGGGCCTGTCCAGAACTGCAGGCCTGGCTGCAAAGCTGGAATTACATCCCACGTCCACGCCTCCCTAAAGGAAACCCAAGCTCTGAGATGGCTAAGAACTACACAGAAATAAATGCTAGATGAAAACATCACATGGGTGCCGGTGAGTCCCAGCTGCTCCACCTCCAATCCAGCCCCTGCTGATGGCCTGGAACAGCTGTGGAAGATGGCCCGAGTACTTGAGGCCCTGCCCCGACCCAGAGACCCGGGTGATGCTCTCGGCTCCTGGCTTCGGCCTGGCCCAGCCCTGGCCATTGCAGCCATTTGGGATGTGAACCAGTGGACAGAAGCGCTCTCTCTCTCTCTCTCAAACTCTTTCAAAATGAATACATTTTAAAAAATCTCTATTGCTTATTAGAACCTTCCTTTTGGCCCAGATTTGCTCAAAATGCACCCAGAGACACTGACATCGTACTCCCCCACAGGAGAGCCAGGCCAGCAGAAGGGCACAGCAGAGTCCGTGAAGCCCACGAATCCACCACGGCCACCATCGAAACCCACTCCTTACCGTGGAAGGTGAACAGCGACACGCTCAGATGTAACAGCGAGCGCGGCCTCACGCCCTGGGCGCCCTTCCACCTGAGAAATCAGCGGTTCTGAGCCGACGCCACACTAACTGCAGCAGTCCTCCCTACCTCCAGGGACACTCCAGTGCTTTTCCCACTCATAAATTTAAGCCCTAATGTCGATGGCAAAAACACTAACGCTTCTGCCATTGACACTCATTTTGTATTGCTCAGGTCCATGTCCCCGTCAGTCTTCCTGCTGCGTGAGTGGGGTCACCTCCTGAACACAGCAGCCTGCCCTGGTTAACCAGCAGGACACAACTCGGGAGCTGTGACAGCCCAACCAGCAGGCACTGCTCCCCCTGATATGACCTCCCTCCAGGCGATGCTGTGAATAAATCATGAGAAGCCACCTGCACCCCCCAAATCTGACACAGCACTGCCCGGAAGTCACAACACTCGAGCTCCCTTGGGATGGTGGGAACAGGTGTCCTACAGCGGAGGACCAGCCAGGACAGCGGCTCACGTCCAGCCTGGCAGACCCACACGGCTGACGCCAGCAACCTACCCTTGCTCTTTCTCTCTTACGTAACAAGAAGATACTGAAGACAAAAGCAAGCTGGTGGCCAGCTGAGCTTCTGCCTTACACGTCGGTCAGCTTTAGGAACAGCCACCTGCAGAGCCACTCAACTGTGCCAACCCCTTCCCGAAAGCTCTGAACTACCCAGAGTCCGACTGTTCCGATTTCTGCTTTAAAAGAAAATTTCTATTTGACAAGGGTGATGCTACAGTTTGGGCGTGGTGTGAGTGTACCCCAAAGGTTCACCGGCCAGAAGCTCGGTTCTCGTGCACTCTGTGGAGAGGTGGCGGAACCCTTGAGACGGGAGTGGCGGGGTCACTGGGGCCACTGCACTTAAAAGATACTAGGGCAGATCTCAAAGGTCCCCGGTTCTTCCAGGAGTTCCTGATATAAACAGACTCCCGGCTCACCACGCAACACCCCAGCTGGGCTGATCCAAAGGGCTGTCTGAGCCTGGGTCTCAGCCTCCAAAATTATGTACTAAATACATCTTCTTTATGAGCTGCTCTGTCTCAGGATCTTCTTTAAAAATCCTTTATTTTTATTTATTTGAAAGGCAGAGAGACCGAGAGAAGGACAGAGAGAATGTTCCATGTGTTGATTCACTCCCCAGATACCCATAACAGAGTTGGATCAGGCCGAAGTCAGGGGCCTACACCTCAAATGGTGTGTCTTAACCGCAACGCCAAATACCAGGCCCGGCCTTGGGTATCGTCATCGTCGTCTTTTTTTTTTTTCTTAAGATTAATTTACTTACTTAAAAGGCAGAGTTGCAAAGAGGAAAGGACAGTCTTGTGAAAGTGCTGGGATAACTGGATGAGTGCAAGAGAATTAAGCTGGATCTCCATATACAAATTAATCTGAAATGAACAGAGGACCCAACTGTAAGAGCTACAATTATAAGACACTGAGATATAACTTCTAAGTTATGATGAAGCAAATCTTCATGGCCTTGGTTCAGGCTGTAGACTTGTGGTTATGACACTAAAAGTGCAAAGGAAGAACAATCAGATAAATTGAAATCCACCTAAATAAAAAACTTCTGTGCTCCAAAGCACCCTTTATGACAAAATTAAGACACAGAAGTTATCTGCAAATCATTTCTCTTAGATTTGCATGATACAAAGAAAGAACTCTTAAATGATAAAGACAACCCAGTAAGAGCAGGCAAAGCGGCAGGGGTGGAGCCTTGTGGGTAAGGTGGCTGCTCGCCTAGGTTTGACTCCCAGCCCTGGCTCCTGTTCCCGGCCTTCTGCTAACGCAGACCCTGGGAGACAGCAGGGTCAAGTAGTCCGGTTCTCACTGTCCACGCGGGAGACCTGGATTAAGTCTTATCTACCAGTTTCACTCCCCAGGCACTGTAATCATCAGGGAATTAACCAGAAGAGGGGAGTGTGCCTGTGTGCACTCTCTCCCCACCTCTTTCAAATAAACTTAAAAAACAAACAAACAAACAAACAAAAAAACCCCACACCACTACAAGGAGTTGGGGCCAGCGTTGTGGCACAAAGAATCAAGCTGCTGACTGTGATCCCGACATCTTGCATCAGTTGAGTTCTGGCTCCTTTGCTTCCAATCCAGCTCCTTGCTGATGCTGGCCAGGTGCGTGGGCCCCTGCCACGTATATGGGAGACCTGGATGGAGTTTCAGATTTGTGGCTTTGGTCTGGCCCAGACCAGCCTTGTGGCCATTTGGGGAGTGAACCAGCCGAGAGAAGATTTCTTTCCTTCTCTGTCACTCTGCCTTTCAAATAAACAAAATAGATCTTCTGAAAACAAACAAGCAAAAACCCCAGGAGATACCACGGCACCTTCCCTAGACTGGCTATCCTTGAAAAGGAAGCACCGGCACGGCAGGACAGAAGCTGGAATCCTCACACATTCACAGCGGGAATGCTATCTGGTTTTGTTAAACCGCTGTCCACACAAAAACTTAGTGCTCACAGCAGCATTACCAATAAAACCTAAAAAGTAGAAATGTCTATTGGCTAACAAACGGAGAAACAGAACACAGAACACCGTGCTATGGAATGGTATTCTGCAATGAAACAGGAAGGCCTCGCACCTGCTACAACATGAACAGACTCTGAGAATC